CTACAGACAAGGCTTGTTATCTTTGTTTAAAGTATAAACTATTATCTCTTGTTTTACTGAACTGCCTTAGAGAGAAGAGTATAGTTTCTTACAGACTAAGGAATTATACTTATCTTTTGGACACTGCTATAAACCTATAAAGGATCCCTGTAGCCGTATCGTTGTTATAGTACTGCTGTTAAGAAGGCCATGGTACTGTAACAATACTCTTTTTAGTTTGGTTTTTTGCATATCATACTTGTTAGCTTTCTTATTTTTTTTAATGTTTTTTTTTACTCAAAAGTAAGGATTTGAACTTCTCTTTTACAAAGGATCAACATTGTTTACTATTTTCTTTTTCAGATGATTACATGTTGTAACATAATGTAATAGAAACACAACATTCATATATACAGCCTAATATATAATATAATGAAAAATAATGAAAAATAAAGAAGGATTTAAGTTAAAAAATTATATTAAATTAAAGATATATAGTAATTCTCAAATCATATATATAAAATTTTTATCATTTTAATATAGTTTAAAGTGTAATTAGATTCTTAGTACAGGTTTAAAATATTACTGACTTTACTAAAACAGTTATGAATAAGATGCTCTTTGATACTTTTACTTTTACTTTTTTTTTGTAATATTTTTTAGTTTAGTATTTTTTTTTTCATTTTACTACAAAAAAGTGTTATCAGATTGGTAATACTCTATTATAAAGTAGTAGTCAAAAATAACCTTCTAGATAGTACTTGTTACTGCCTAGTATGATAAGTTATTTTTGAACATTCTTAGAAGCAGCTAAAAAAGTTAAAATCTGAAAATTAAGTTTATATTATTAGTAATAGTTAATATTCTTCTTAATAAAAATATACTAACATAACTACTTAAGTAAAAAAAATACTTGTATTATAGTAATTGTTTTTAATGATTGAATTAAGATATCTATAATAGTAGCTATACAAATATAACTAGCAAGTTATGAAACATCTATATAAGTATACTATTATACAAAGAAATATAAACTAATATCAGATAATACAAACTTTAAATAAGTTTTTATAACTATATAATTTATTAAAATTGAAAAACAAGAAGTTTTTTAAAAAGATCTAAATAGAAAATTAATACAAATTTTTGTTTTGCTATTATAAAAACCAATTTTATAAAATAAATACCAATATTAAAATACTCAGATAAACAAAAATTTTTGGATAAAAGATGCTACCAACTAGATTTTTAAAATGAGCTAAAGAAAAAGGATATTAAACTAATTTGATATACCAATAGGCTAATCATAATTTTATTAAACTATTTGGATTAAAAGTCTAAAGAACAAGTAGAAATATATTAAAGTAATTTAAATATGCTATGAAATAGATATTAAAATTTGAATAAATTCTATAAAGACACAATAATTTAATGACTAATCCTGATTGTAAGTATTAATTTTATTTTAATAATATTGAATTAATTATAAAAATAAATACAAAAGACTTTAAAAAGTTTATTTTAAGAATAAAATAATTCTAAGGTTGAAATGATAATCTAATTATAACCTAATAATATCAATACAAATGCAAGTTCAGAGGATTTAAAATAAAACATACAAGCAAAAGTATTAAATATAACAATTGGTAAAAAACTTTTAGGTAAACTCCTTAAATAGGTAATATAAAAAAAATTATATATGTAACCAGTTATATACTCTTATTGTAATGATTTATAAAATCACATTACCAAAAAAATCATTAATAAAAATCAATAAATCAAAAAGATCATTTTAATACCAAAAAAAATAAAAATATTAATCTTTATTATTATATAAAATTATAATAAAATTATGGATTTTTTAAAATAGTGCATCTGTATCATAGTGCACTCCTTATATAATACAAATAAATACATCTAATTAATATATATAATTTATATAACAGATATATATTATACTATTACACAAGATTATGTGTTGTATTACACAAGATCATGTGTGTTATACAAACTTATATAATTCAACTAAATAACCTGTTATGTGCTAATATACTTATCCTAAAGTATAATAGATGCATCATGATGCACTAATGCACTAAATTATAATTTCCTAAAATTATCATACCTAAAACCATACAAAATTAATTTTTTGATTTTTATTTTTTTCAAAAATTTGCAGAATTTGACCTGACCGGGTTATAAGAACCAATTTATTAAATTTGTTTAACCTAACTATAAAAATTTTAAAAACCTCAAAATTGCAGATCTGTGCGAGCCGGCAAAAGTACAAATTTTTAGACCTCTAGCATTGCATCACCATTTAATATTAAAAAAAGTTTTACGTGTAACGTACAGAATAAATCAACTAGTTCAAACGGGTTTGACTTAAACGATAATGGTTCGAGTCTCAAACTGAGTCAATATAGGTTTACCCTAATTAGTTAACATCTCTAACCAAAAAGTGCGGGTCTTATAATAATAACGATAAAACAATATTGCTTTTGGTGGTCGCCTTGGCGAATTCTTGATTTATTTTCTAAATCGATATGTATGATATAATGCGTATATGAATCTATTGTAAGCATGTGTATTGTATACACAAAAGTAGATGCTTAAACGGCAATTTTAAGAGAACTAGCTTATAACCTGGTCTAGCAATGTTTATCACTTCATGTGAAATTATGCAATGACGTAATTTGTTTGCTTGCACTAACAAATTGGCCTAAACCTCTAATCCTAACTCAGGATATCTTTCAAACTCGTTGTATAAACCGGATCCGAATCTAGGGATCATGATACTGGCTACAGACCTCATAGGACGACATTCATCTGATTGGCTGATGTAGATCAATTGCCCGGGTAACTTATTTAACGTTCACCATGCGAAAAGATCGGGAACCTCATAGACTTTGCTTAGAAGACAAAAGATATTCATTTTTTATTGGACTATATGATATTATTTTATATAAATACCGTAGACAGTCAACCAACTAAACTTAAACTATGTTAATTTAAAACAACTATTACTAATCGTTTAGCTTGGTATAGCAGGTATAAGCTAGTTAGAATGAAAGAGCCGGGTTTATATTCGAGTTTGTTTGGTTTTTGTAACGTTCTCAGGTCTATTGATCGTAGATGTAGATTAGGTTTATATAGATAATATATAAAACATATAGTGTGCTTGGTTTTGGTATCCAATACTTTTTTTTTGGCATTTTATATGTATATATGGGCTTGGTGCTGCAAAAAAGGGGTAAATTGACAAAAAAATAGATCTTCGGAAAATCAATTTTTATGTTATAAATTTTATAATAAATCATAAGAAATTGCATAATTTTCTTAATATAACTACTTTTGTGTTTTAAGTAAAAAATGATCCTATACAGAAAAATTAAGTTTTAAAAATTTGTCAATTTACCTCTTTTTGCAGCACCAAGCCTAGTCTTAATTTTTGTAGATCTACACGTGATAATAAACCAATCAAAATACAGTTAGTGCTGTCAATGAACATGGACATATAAAAGATATATGTCCAAACTATGGATATTGGACATATGTCAGTGCCGCCAAGGGAAAATACAATTCTTAATAAATTAGATAAATTGCATCCGATACAAAATATAATTGAAAGTCCGAAGTTACATTTTCCCTTGGCAGCACTCATATTTAGAGAATAGATGCGTGTAAAGTGGGTAAATGTGATATTTATTGTTAATAAACCCAACTCATTACATTAAAGAATATAACCAAAAACCTTAACTATTAATTTACGGTTGACAAACCCAAACACACTATAATAACCGACCAAATTTAATCTTAGGTCCGGATCTTTTACTACTAAAAAGCTTGCACCTACACAAATTAACAGTTAGAAATGAATGTTTATTTAGATTTAACGTAAAAAAATAGTTTTAGATGAAACGTTTCCAGTTACCTTCACTATACAGTATAATTTAGTCTGGTCCAATAAACGGTAGGCATATATTGTCTTCTAGGTAAAATTCATGAGGATACTGATTATTACTGATTATTACTGATTATTTTTGCATAGTAAATCTAAACGTTCTATCGAAGCGAAAAATGGGTTTTGCGGTGATTTTTTATTGGTGAAACGTTGTGTTCTCAAAAGTACTTTAAAGTATATATAAATAAATTACCCGGGCAATTGATTTATATCAGCCAATCAGACGAATGTCCTTAATCTTCAATCTTCCCACATCGAACTGGGACAGCACATAACACCGCCGCAAACCAGTTTTTACACGCAAATCTAAGCCATTTAAAAATTTCTTATAAATCCTGTTTTTATGGTTATATTTGAATTTGAATTTATTTAAAGTTTAATGGTATTTCTTTTCCCGATTAATTTTCATTCACGAATTTTCTTCTCGAGTATACGTTCAAAGTTTTTTCGCGTTTTCATACCCACACGCTATCATACAATGGTCGAGTATAATGTCGCAAAAGTTTCTGATATCGGAGACGGTCAACAGTATGTTTATTTTACTTATATTTTACGGATTTCCCAACTTGCTATTTAACTTGTTTCCTTACTCTGATAAATAGCAAAGAATTTACTGTCGGTGGAAACATTAGAATTCTTTTATCAAAAGTTAATGGACAAATACATGCAACTTCTCATAAATGTACTCATTATGGGGTAAGCTATTTCAAACAACTGGATGAAAAAACGGGTGTGATCGTTCTTTGTTTCTTATCATGATAATTTACGGTATTATTGTAGGCACCACTTGCTACAGGAGTACTTTCGAGCGATGGTCGCATAACTTGGCAAGAAAGCAATCGTTTTGAGTTGGTATTTTATTTTATTCTTTTATTAACTCAAATATTTTGTTCAGTCCTTGGCATGGCGCTTGTTTCAATGTTACTACTGGTGATATAGGTAACGGTTGATTTTTTTAATTTTTTATTATATCGTAAATGGTGTTTGACAGTTTTTTCTATTTTTAGAGGATGCTCCTGGATTGGATAATCTTCAAAAATATAAGGTATGCATACATACGTACATATATATGGTCAACCTCGTCCCAAGCATATAGTGCACTTAATAAAACGCCCTCCATAAATGCACATTTTAAAAATTTTGCCTATAGTCCCAAGTGTGCATTTACGGAGGGTTGACTGTACTTACGATGCAGTTTTAATAATCGAAGACGGTTAATCCATTCCTTTCCCACGTGATCGTTACACCGAACACAGGTTACCATAAAAGGTGATGACGTCTACGTTGAAGCTGACGAAGATGGTATGTTAGTAGCACATAATATTGGTTTATTAAAATAATTACGCAATCTAACGATGAATTATGTACAAACTCTGTTATAATTAGCTTTTAAAATTTCCAGAAGACCTCCAAAGTGTTCTTCTGGAGTAGTTCCATTAAATGATCGCACTGTAGTAATTATTGGTGGTGGCGCTTCCGGAAACGCTGCAGCAGAGAAACTTCGTGAAGTACTTATTGTTACTTCAGTGCACGTTATTACGTAAAAATAATTATCATTACTAGTGTTTCCACTAAATTTAGGATGGATATAATGGAAAAATTGTTATTATAAGCCGTGAACCTTATCTACCCATTGATAGGTAAGTGTCATCACGTTTCTCAGAGTTTAATCACATGTATGATTAATATTATTTTTTCGTACAATAGGCCAAAACTTAGTAAAGCTTTTGGCATGAAACTTGAAAAAATACAAATCCGAAATAAGGATTTTTATGATAGCCTTTTTATTACGTTTAAACTAGGAACGGTCTGTATTATGTTGTAACAAGTCAATTTTAGAAGTTTATTTCAGTATTAATGTTAAATCTGCATGATTGTAACAGTCTGTAACTAAAGTAAATACCTCTTCCAAAATGGTCACCCTCGATAATGGCGAAAATTTAAAGTATGACACTTTAATTATTGCTACTGGAGCTTCGGTAAGTCGATTTCTTAATCAATTGTACACTTCTCTACCAAAAATCATCGGAATAAATCAAATATAGTAAATATTGAAATTCATGCATTATAAAAAAAGTTATAATTTTATTAGTAAATAATTTTTTAATTTTTAGAATTATAAATATCATAGTTCTTACAAATACTCTATTTAATCTCTAAAAAAAATTTAGCCTGATCGAGAAAAAACTTCATAAAATCTTTATAATAAAGCGTATAAAATTTTTAAAAATTTATTTTTGATCAGGCCAAAATTTTTGTGAAATTAAATAGAGTAATATAAGAACCACAAATTAAAAAATTACTAATAAATTATAACTTTTCTTATAATGTAAAATTTTCAATATTTATTATGTTTTATTATAAAATACCTTCGTTCCGGTGACTTTTGGTAGGGGAGTGTACATATAAGGAGCGTCAGTGATTTATGAATTCTAAGCCTTAAATGCCACTGGCAATAAATAGGTAATTACTTAATATGAAATCTGTTTAATACCTGTGACATTTAAGCAACTGTTTAATTAAAATCAATTACATTTTTGTACCGTATAATTTCTGTTTGTTTGATCATTTTATGTGTCGTTTATTTATATAGCCGCGGTCGATTCCGATTCCCGGAATTGGACTCAATAACGTGTTTTATCTTCGTACATTTGAAGATTATGAGAAAATTGAGCAAGGTTAGTCAATCTATTTGTTCTGCATTTGTAATTCGTAACTTTGACTTAATTATTCTAAATAACAGCCATCGGGAAAGAAGAAAATAAGAAACTCGCAATTATCGGATCTTCCTTTATTGGAATGGAAGTGGCAGCTATGTGTGCTAAAAAAGCCAACGTCTCTGTTATTGGCATGGAAAAGGTTTTACAGAGTTATTTATTGCACGTACATCTGGTTCAAAGCACAGAGTATGATATGTAACACAGCCGTTTTTTTCTCCTAGGTTCCTTTTGAAAGAGTACTTGGCCTTGAGGTTGGAAGTGCAATTCAAAAGTTGCACGAAGCAAATGGTGTCGGTTTTTATTTGCAATCTGGTGTGAAGGAAATTGAACCCTTAGGTCAGTATATTTAACATTAACACGCCTTTTTTCTTGATCGTATCTAAATTTATTACATTTTCAGACACTGATCCTAGGAAAGGAGGTGCAATAATATTAGCAGATGACAGAAAGATTCCCGCTGACGTAATAGTAATTGGAGCAGGTGTAGCACCAGCAACGGTAAGAATACAATATATTTTGATTCAGCTATTAGTTATTTATTTATTTTATACTTTAATTTCTTTCAATTCTTGTTACAGGAATTTTTGAAAGACTCACCAGGTTTTACATTAGAAAGAGATGGTAGTCTTAAAGTCGATGAGAATTTCAAAGTTGAAGGGCTTGATGATGTTTTCGCAATTGGTAAGAATGCTATTCATATATATTAAATAATATTGTTCTATCAAATTTCTATTCACATAATCTGATTATAAAGGCGATATCGCAAGGTTCACATATCATAAGACTGGAGAGTCAATCCGCATTGAACATTGGGTATTGTTGAATAATTATATTTATTAAAAATAAAATAAAAGTCATTTTTTAAAGGGAAGTACATTAATCATTCATTTTTAGTCGTTTGCCGAAAATACTGGTCGTGCAGTTGCTGAAATAATTGCTAAAAAATCGGTCATGTCATTCAAAAAAATCCCATACTTTTGGAGTAATCAACTTGGGAAGGGAATACGTTATGCTGGTTATGCCAGTAGTTTCAATGATGTTATTATTCAAGGAAATCTGGAAGAATTTAAATTTGCAGCATATTATGCACGTAAGTATCAAATTTGCATTTTTTTTTAAATATTGCTTATATAACTACTATTTCTTTAAATAGGTGATGATAAAATTCTGGCAGTTGCCACGATATCCAAAGATCCTTTAGCTTCTCACAGTTCAGAACTGGTTTGTTACATAATAAGTTATATATATATATAACTTCATGAGGTTACGTTTAACCTGATTTTTTTTTAAATTATATAGTTGAGGCTTGATGCATTTCCATCAGCATCTGAAATTAAAAATGGAAAGGTATGTAATAAAATATATTTATATTATGAACCATAAAGCCTGTGCCTGAGATTCAAATTTTGGTCAGTTGCGGTTTCGCAACTAACTGGAAAAATTTTACTTGCGGATTATATGAATTTAGTTGCGCATATGGAAATATCTATATGCAAAATTCTCATCATTTGCAGAACCGCATACTTTTTTCAGGTTTTTGTTGCAAAAACTTAAAAAATCGTTTGTGGGATCTGCGAACTCCGCAATATAATTTCAGACAAAACAGGTTCAACAGTACATTTTAATTTTGCGTATAAATTGTTATAAATATAATTTGCTATTTTAAATCTATAAATATAAAAGTCTTATTGATAATATTGAAAAGCAAATATTTTTGTAGTTTAAAGGTTTAAAAATAGTAAATAACAATTATATCAATTTATACACAATTAAGATGTTAACTTTTTTGTGGGTTTTTATATTATTATATATTATTTATTTTATTATTTGGTGTTATTTATAATAGAATCCTCTTGAAGTTCCTTTATAATATGATTATATTAATAATTGTATTATATGAAATATTGTTTGTAAATTATTATATAAAATAGTTTTTTATTTGTATAATAAAGATATTAGTGAAATTAGAATATTATTGGTAAAAATAGTATTGAAAAATGTAATTTTATAAAATTAATTTTAACAATATTTTATTTATATATATATAACCAATGTTGATAAATTATAAAGTTATATAAAAATTTTTTTTTAAAAAAATTATAAAATATAGTAATTTAGTATAGTTGATAAGTTATTAATTTTAACAAATAAGAATTTAAATTTTATTATAACAAATTTTAAATAATTTTTTTATAGTATAAGTATTTAAATTTTGTTAATAATTATTTTAAAATATAGTATAAAAAAGTAACTTTAAAAATATTATTATTATTTTTTTTTTCACTTTGGCAGTCTTGCCGATACTCTTTATTAAGATTTCTGTTTATATACACAAACATTTTTAGACT